CAGCCTGCTGTAGGTGACCCTGCTTCGGCAGGAGGGTTGGACTAGATGACCCACAGAGGTCCCTTCCAACCCCTACTATTCTGTGATTCTGTAATACCACAAGGAAATTAATTTCTCCAAAAAAATTTTTGCTTAAGTTACTAATATATAAAAATAAAGTGATTTTGTGAATTACTCACAAACTGCCTTTCAAACTATCCAGATTTTGTTCCATTTACCTGTGCAGGAGAGTTAGCTTCTTCACCCTGCTTCTTCTTTTTCTTCTTCTTTTTCTTGGATTTCCCACTTGTAGAACTCTGAAGAATTGGCTCTGCTTTTTCTCTTTCATTATCTGAAGGCTTCATATGGGACTATAAGATATTTAACATTTTAAATGACAATGACACATGCTTTCTATAGACTAAACACAAATTAATAGCTATAAGGAATGTAATTGCATGTAAAAGTATAAAGGAACACAATCTCATCTGTGCAGTTCATTTTAGGAAGACCACATTCCTTACACGCTATCTGGAAATGCAGGTGCAGGCATTGGGAATGAAAAAGGCAGAGCAGCACCTTGTACTGGCAGCATTAAAATGCTGTTTTTCATACAAAGAAATAAATATTGTTAAGAAGTATTTATGAAAAAAGATCTAAATCCTCTCTTAGTCTATGACGATAAGGTAATCCTTACATTATGGTGAGAGACTAAGATTTGACATGGAGCTAAGTGGCTTTTATTTTCTCAGTAACAACATTCAGCATTTTCCTCTTCTGTGTACTCATTAAAAACAATTGTGCTACCCTTACAGTGTAAAAGAATTAAGAGATTACCTTTATCACTACCCTTCAGTTACTTTAAGAAATGGCAGTGGTCAGGGCAAAGTCTTGGAGCTAAAGAGAAAATACCACCTTTTACCTTCTGAACATCAGATATCTCTTCAGGTTGAGGAACAGAAGCAACTTTTTCTTCATCTACCCAGTTTCCCCACTCCTCTGCTGGTGCATTCCAATCAGAGCTGGGATCAGCTGAAGAAAGTCCATCTACAAAGATTAAAAAGATGTTCAGGAATGTCTCCTTACTTTACAGGTGCTCTTTACAGTTTAAATATGAAAACAAAAAATTTAAAAAAATCTTCAAAAAAATTCTATGCATAAAACCACTTCTTGATATCAAGACATAAACATTCATTTCCTGTATTTAAAAAAAATGTAAAGATTTAATGATAGGTGGAAGACTTTTGTATAGCCATAAACATTCTACACCCAGAAATGTGAATAAATTATGCTTTTGATAATACACAAAACTGACCACTTCCAAATGATTAACTGAAGTGTTTTTCCCTTAAACCAGATAAAAGACAAAAGGTAAATTTCACAACGATCTGGTATTAGAGCAGTCATGCCAAAACTAGTGCAATCAAGGACTGCATCAATCCATTCCACTTTTGCAGTCATTAAACAAGAAGCTGTGCTTAAGGTAAAATACAGGGCAGCTTTTCTGGTCAACTTCTTGACTAATTTTTCAGGTCAATGACCTAACAAGAGGAACTAAATTGTTTTTCTTAAACATTCTTAGATCTGACTAAATAAAGATACCAATTACAAGGCAGTTCAAAAAGTGAATTTATGGCTGAAAGCTTTCTTCACAGGAACAGTTTCACTGGTAAATATTTAGGAATGGATGTAACTTTATTATACTACAACACTGTTCAGTGAAAGATTGTGGTAAGAGCTATTAGTATATTTTAGAATTGGCAGAGAGGGGAAAGGGGGGAGTAAACATCAATTTCACTATAATTCCCAAGTAATTTCACTGATTTTATCCTGCATATGCTTTCTATACACATAAGAACTTCCTAATGCTTGCTATATGAGAAAGTAAATTAGATTACACATTGTGTTTTCAGTAAGGTACAAACATGTAAAAGGAAACTCTGACTCAAATACAATCTGCTAAATACCTACAGTGTTTTGCAGACTTGCAGTAGATTTTTCTCACCATTTGAACATTAAGACTGGTCTAACTGATTACCAAGACTTTCTAGCAAAGGCCAGAATTACCTTAAAATGCATGAGCTCTCTTTCACTTCTGAGTTTCAATAGCCAAATACTTTTTCTAAAAATTAATCATTTTCTGTTATCACTCATCAAAATACTTCTTGCTGCTGTGTTCAAACTGTCAATTAGCCTTACAGAAGTGAAACATTCCAGGTTTTTCTTCAGATGCTCACAACTAGCTCATACAAGTAGCTAATATAAGTAACTACACTTTAAAGTAACATTAATTACAAAATTTGTTATTGAACATTTTAGAGGAACATACTTAACCCAGACCATTCGTCATCAACAGGGGGTTGAGCATGACTTAAATCCCACTGAAAATCGGAAGTACCAGCCTGAGAAACTGACTCGCTGTTGGTTCCTGAAATGGAATAAATAAAATTGTACTTGTAAGTTAACAAGCTTCACAAGATTTCTTGGGTAAAGAAATTCCAGTCAAAGTAGGAAAGGGAGATAGAAGGCTCAAAGCAAAAAGTCTGATTCTAAGGACTGCACAGGACAAGAAAACTACAAGGCTCTTGAAATGAGATACATTCAGAAAACAAGGGAACTGAAGAAGTACGACAAAAATAAGTCAGGAGAAGAACATGGAAAAAAGAGATAAGAAGGGTGAATAACAGCAGTCTCCAAGGCTTACAGCAGCTTCCTGAAACTGAAAAATACAACAACAAGCCGTGTGGTGTGGTTGACATGCTGGAGGGAAGGGATACCATTCAGAGGGACCTTGACAGGCTGGAGAGGTGGGCCTGTGTGAACCGCATGAAGTTCAACAAGGCGAAGTGCAAGGTTCTGCTCGTGGGTTGTGTCAATCCCAAACACAAGTACAGGCTGGGCGGAGAGTGGCTCAAGTGGCCCTGAGGAGAAGGACTTGGGGGGTGCTGGTGGATGAGCAACTCAACATGGGCTGGCCACGTGCACTTGCAGCCCAGAAAGCCAACCATAACCTGGCTGCATCAAGAGAAGCGTGGCCAGCAGGTTGAGGGAGGTGATTCTGCCCCTTTACTCTGCTCTCTTGAGACCCCACCTGGAGTACTGCATCCAGCTCTGGAGCCCCCAACATAAGAAGGACATGGATGTGTTGGAGCGGGTCCAGAGCAGGACGTAACATCACATCATTATAACATCATATAAGATGATGTTAACATAACATCATTATTTTAAGAAAATAAGGCATCAGCAAATAAAAGAATTTTAGAAAAAAATAAACCCCAAAAAACTAAATTGTGAGACTGAGTAGTACTTTATGATAAGACTTACTTTTGAAAAGAAGTTTAAATAGGACCATAGCTACCTGAGTGTCTGTTTTATCAACACCACTGCAAAAGATAGCTCAGATGACAGGAACCTTGACATGTTCTCATTTTTTGCGAGCCAGTCACAAGTCAGAAGCAACTATTTAGTGTGGTCCCTTTGTATTAAAACATTGCTGGCTAATGTGCATCAAAGATACTTCACTGTCTCACTCTACTCTCTCAATTAAAGTTGGAACAGTGGTATTGCACATGAATCTCAGATCAGTCTGTTGTCCTACTTTATTAACTCAACTTTCTTACGTTTTACCCTAGAGTCTGAACTTGAATTCATGTGGCTCCCCTTGTTATTTTACTAAAACTCCCTGTACAGTCAAGACTCTGTTTTTCCTTTAAGACAAAGTTTCTGTACATTTTCATTAAGTGAACTGTTCTTTGGAAAGGCTGATAATTAGACCTTGGCATTTATAACTTCTTTATTATTCTGGCTCAGATGTGCACAGAGAATGAAGCACTCAGTGTCCTACAGCTCACATGAGCTCGAGTTCCACAGTTAAAAGACTGTAAACTGCAATGTAAGTAAACATAGCCTAAGTGCATAAGCACTTGGCCAGCTACTTCCTGAAAGCAAATAGCCATGCCAAGCTCATTCGACAATAGGAGTCAGCAAGGAAGAGCAGAAAATCTGACATACAATCCCTTTAATGTATAACAAATCACTGTAGCACTTACGTCAGTAGTTTAACACACAAGATTTATTATGAAGCCAGGTTTGCACTCTATAGCAATTTTACCCTTCCAAACAAGAAAACCCTCAGCTCAGCTTTCCCACCCGTCGTACAGAGAAAAGACTCATGACTTCAAATCCTTCCTATGGAACTTATTTTGAAAGTAGTGCTTCAGTTCCTTGAAGGAAAAAACACCCCAACCACCAAATCATACACCTCCCAAAAAATCAGGATAAATAGACTTTCCTACGAAGTAATCTTCAGATCTCCAACTTGAGACACAGCAATACTGAGCAATCTCTGATGCCCATTATTTAGACTCAACACACAAACAGGAAGGCTAAATAAGAAATATCACCTTCTTACTGATCTAGCTTTTGGCTATCAATTTAAAACAGTTACTTTATTGCACAATTTGAGCATAACAAAAAGCTTTCTAGGCTTTCATAAAATGTGTCTTCTACTTGTGTACAGCTACCAGTACTACTTTCAAATAACAATGAGAAAGATGCATATTACTAACACTTGGCAAACTATTTCCACCTGGTGAGGTAGAAGAGAGTGGAAAAATCTTTGGAAGGGCATACATACCAGAAACTCCAGGAGTTAATCCAAATGAAGAGAAAGAAGTAGAATTCTGTTCGGAGGTATTAATCCTCGCATCCACATTCCAAGCAGCTGTGGGGGAAGGGGGAGGGGGGGCAAAGAAAAGGAAAAAAAGAACTTCACACTGCTGGCAATATTGAAAACGTTAGCTATTTAACCATGAATAGGGTCAGAAAAACAGCAGAACTTCCAGCCATGTTAACATTTCAAACAGCTGAGGACATTATTTTGCTTATTATGTGAGACAATCAGCACTGATAGAGATGTGACTGTATGAACACTCAGCTTGAAGCAATTTTCTAGCTTTCCAACATCATCTTCCCTCTACAGCCTTTTCTGTATATAACTTCTCACAAAGGAAAAGTAAATTGTGTTTTGAGCCCCAAACTATTCTTCTTCTTCCTATTACTGCACTCCTCTAAGTTATTGAAAACATATTTACTGACTCTGTAGATGAAACCTAGCTTGGAACAAATTGTATATATGTTAAAGAACAGAACCAAGTCCGGAACAACTTTTGACAAATGAGAGATACTGATTACAAATTAAGATATACTTGACTGTTAAGCGTAAGGTAGAAAATAAGAAGAAATAATCAGTGGTACTAGTGTGTCAAAAGAAACATCTGGTTAGAATTATACTTCTTTAGTTGGAGGGGCGGGCACTCATAACTGGACAGAGTATTCCAGATGTGGTCCAAGCAGTGGATAATCACTATCCCCCATCTACTGACTCCTGTTAACACAGCCCAGGATACTGTTGGTGGCTTTTGCTGCTGGGGCCTATAGCTAGCTCACGTCCAGCTTGGTGTGCACCAGGACCCCATATCCACACAGCTGCTCTCCAGACAGTCAGTCCCAAGCCAGGGGTGCTTCCTACCCAGGTGCAAAACTTCACATTTGCCCTCATTGAGCTTCCTCTGGTTCCTGTTGGCCCTCTTCTCCAGCTGGTTTACGTCCCTCTGGATGGCACACCTGATCTGGACTGTATCAGCTGGTTCCCCCCTCTCCACTCAAGTTTGGTGTAATCTGGGAATCTGATTATTTGTCATTCGACACTCTATTGCCTCCTCCAGGTCGTTTATGAGAGGGAACTTTATAAATGCTTAGAAATATCTGAAGGGTGGGTGTCAGGAGGATGGGGCCAGACTCTTTTCAGTGGTGCTCGGCAACAGGACAAGGGGCAACGAGCACAAACTGAAGCACAGGAAGTTCCGTTTGAACATGAGGAAGAACTTCTTCCCTCTGAGGGTGACGGAGCACTGGAACAGGCTGCCCAGAGAGGCTGTGGAGTCTCCTTCTCTGGAGATATTCAAGACCCGCCTGGACAAGGTCCTGTGCGGCCTGCTCTGGGTGACCTTGCTTCAGCAGGGGGGTTGGACTAGATGACCCACAGAGGTCCCTTCCAGCACCTAACATTCTACGATTCTGTGATTCGGATTTACAAAGATGATAAACAGGACAGCTCTAAGTACAGAGCCCTGTGACATCCCCCTCATTACCAGCCTTCAGGTATAGTACGACTCACTCACTACCTTTGAGCCTGATCAGTTTTTCAACCATGCTAACTTGGATACAACAATACTGTTGGAGACAGTGTTGAAAGCACTGCTAAAGTCACCATAAAAGACGTTCACTGCTCTCCCCTCACCACAAAACTAGTTATTTTACCAGAAGCATATCAGCCTGGTCAGGCATGATGTTATTTATTCTGGGTAACAAAACCAACAACAAGCTGGCCACAGTCACTAAGGAATACCCTTTTAAGAATATATAGCAGAATCTAACTAACTGGAATATGAAAACAGGCCTTTGCCTCTACTTGGCAACAGTAAAGCCTTCAATAGATATAGCAAGTCTGACCTCAGACACCACATTTCAAGATATGAGACACAAATAAAAAGGGTTTAGACTAAAGCAACACTGCTGACTACAGAGAATGCTGCTTTCCAGAAGAGACTAGAATCACTAAGACAGAACAGTGGGAAGGAGCATATTACAGCATCTACTAATAAGTAGAAGGTTGTTGTACACAGAGAAGCAAAGAATTCTCCTCTCCATTCTTACTGACAGTACAAGTTACAAAGGCTAAAAAATGTACCGGAGAAGACTAAACCCAACTTCTAATGGAAAAAAAAGTGTTAACACTAAATGTCACGAGAGCTGAACAATCTTCATGCCTGGAGCCTAAACAAACACCTGCCAAAACCAAACACAGTTGATGTGATCATGTTGGATCAACAGAACAGACTTACGACCTGGGTTCTAAGATATTCTTTAAAAAAAAAGAAGCTACACTTCAAAATGACTTTGTAATCACTTTCAGAATTTTAGGAAAGTGACGTAAAAAAAAGCTGATTCCTTCACAGAAATAATTTTGTTTCTGATAAACTCCAAAACCTCAGTTAAACCGTAAACAGACACATAGCTGTTAAGCCATCAGAACTTACAGTAAACAGAAACTGCTTAGTTCACATTTCACTAGTCCACTCCAAGATATTCTTTTTAATATATAAACATAAAGCTACTGAAGAGATTCACTACTAAAAAAATACTTATGTAAAAGTGTTTAAGTGAAGGAAGTTTCCCTGGAATAGCTCACCAATAGGAGTGAACAAGGAACGCTCTTTCCAGGGCCTGCCCACCAGGGTTACGCCCCAGTCCTTTCCATTCCCATTAGCATCTCCAGTGTCCTGGCTCCAAGCTGGTGTCTCAGTCTTCCTCTTCCCAGCTGTAGCTGAAGGAACAGATGTCCACTTCTCCTCCCCTACACCAATCTGTGAGGAGATTTTTACAGACTTCTCATTCCAACTTCCTCCATTTACTGTATGGCTTTCACTCAGCCCTGGAGAAACTTAAACACAAGCATAATGAAAGCATTATGTAAAACAAGAATTGGATGATGAATTAAAATATTACTTATATGCACATATACTTAACAATAAAAAAGTACAAATGAACAGCCGCTTTGCTATGCCAGTGTGACACAGAAGAGCTGCTGCTCTGTCTCAGCTGATTTTCCAGTTCAGCTGATATGCACCATCTGTCTACTAACTTGAAGAGTAAGGAAAAAACAGCACCAAACCGCACACTTCTTCCTCTGTCCCTTGCTTTACAGGGCTGATATCTTGGTGAACCAGTGCCTCTAGATTTAAGAAAAAAAAAAGTGGTGGGGGGTGCTCCCAACACCGCCAGGTAATTTCTCTTATAGAGTATGGTGATGATTTGTGGAAAGCCCAGTGCACTAAATGGAGAATAATTCCTGTGCCATAACAGCCTACAGCAGTTCTCTAAGCAGGAAGTAGAAGAAACGACCACGGATTAGAAAATGCTTCCTAAACACTATACAGACGATAGAGTCCACTAAAGTTAGAGGAAAAAAAAAATCACGGCAACACTCTCAAAATAATCCATAAGCAATATATTTTATGTTACATTAAGATAAAAGACCCCTAGTCTATCTGCAAGTCTACCCTGATGAGGAATTACTAGTCACAGCAAGTCTAATGCATAGATTGAGAGGAGTCAGTAGTACATTGAGACATAAAGATCACTGAAATTTTTTATAAATTATTTTTATGTCCCTATAAAACTTAAAGGCTGACGGTCACCTGGCGCACCCAGCGTGATCTCCTATCACAAGTCTTTCTCAAAGGCATCTGTGTATCAAATCCTCTCTCTTTACATACATGCAATGTAAACAAAATAAAAACTTCTGATTTACAAATGATTAAGAAATATCTGCATATTGCGAGTGTAACACTTAAACAGTCAGTGAAAACCTCATGCACGAGTAAGTCAGTATTATATTCCAACAAAAACTACAGACCAAATACTTAATTCCTCAAATGAACTCATAACTCAGGCAAGCACGAACATGCCACATTCAGTGACCTCACTGGCAAGGAACTGGTTAGGTGGGATATGCCTAGATTTTCTTAAGCAAATAATTTCCAAACACATACATACATCTGTAAGGTCACCACTGCTGTACCTAAAAACACTGCCCTTTCTCTATACAACTCTACAGCACTAACATTGTTCGTGCCAGTCAATGTCCTCTAAGGGTAATATGATGTCTTAGGGAAAGGCAACAACAAAAACAGCAGAGGTAGAAACCAAAGTGTAGCTGGTAGAAAAACTCTTTTGCAACCTTGGAAAAAGACAGCTGAAGTCCTGAAGCAGGAGCGTGATTATCCTGTGTTTATCATACAACTCTCCCATCACAAACATTGACCTTCTACATGACCAGCAAGATTTCACAGAATCACAGAAAACTCAAGATTGGAAGTGATCTCTGGAAGTCACTTAGTTCCACCTTCTGCTCAAAGCACAGCTAACTTCAAAATTATACCACTTTATTGAAGTTCTAGAAATCATAAAGGCAAAGGCTGATAGTTCAAAGCACCTCTGGGCAATCTTATGAAGGGCTTTTTTCCTTGTGGTCAGTCAGAATTTCCCTTTCCGAAACTTGATTATTGCCCCCTGTTCTCCCACTATGCATCTCTAAAGAACACAGCTTTGCTGTTCAGTAAGTAACAGTTTGTGTAACAGGTAATTTGGCTGAAAATTCTAGGTACTGAATCTTTTTCTACATGTATTAGAGACTGTTTTCAACCTGTTAAGAAGTAACTGCAACTTAGAAGTTTAATATTTGCATAGCCAAAAAAGCCAGCTGCATAATAAAGTTCCAGATCACTAACTGCACAAAATCCTGCAGTGACAACTTGTGTTTTCACTTCTGTAAAACACTTTTCTAGTTAATTAGGATGCCTAACAATGAAAGCTTTTTACCTTGTGGAATTGATGACTCTCCCTTTGCAGGTTTAGAGCTGCTAACTTGCGCATTCAGAAGTGCATCACCTGATTAAGAATCAAGAGGAAACAGAGCTACAGTAAGTTTTTTCAAATAGCAAAACCTGTAAATATCTTCTAAAACAGCACCCATTACTGATGTTTTAAGAAAAAACACCATCAATACCTCAAGGTAAACTAAGACATTTTCAGAAAACTTAAGAATAAAATGAAACTACTCTATTTTGTATTATTTGTGTTTTTTTGCAGACAGGATGAACTCAAAACTGATTAGGGCCTACAAACCAAGTAACCACAGATTTCAAAGAACTCTAGCTAGTTTCCCCAAGAATGGTCAGCAGAAATCTAAAACAGAGGGTGTCATTTTCAAGCAAAGGGCAGCTCTAAATATTTCAGACATACATACCTACTTCTAACCTCTACCTTACCATGAAAGCACCAGATACGGCTGAACTCCTTTCAGATCAGTCTGGTACAAGAATAACATATTATGCATAAAGGACTGGCTAGAGAGGTTACAGTAGTTACAGGTAGTCAGAGTACACAGGCAGTTGGAATTACCATTTCTTGAAGCTCTTTGTGTGTAAATGGACAGCAAAAAAGAAAATGGGAAACAACTGATCTAGTTCTCCAGGACAAGAACCACGCACTCAGTCAAGATGCAAACAAGTGTCAACAAAAACACCAGAAAGGTATGCAAATTTCAATATATTGTTACACAGTACTAGATAGTTGCTATGCTCAGTCTTTTTGCCGCATTGCTAGACCATCAAGTTTCATCTAATTAAAGCACCAAGTGTATCAGTAAGTTAAAAGTATGTCAGAAAGCTAAACTGTGTATCTTCAGATTCTTTTAGCTTCTTAAACGATTCCACAGTTGCAGCCAAAAATGAATTCCTGTGCCTACACACAGTTTAAACCAGCCTATCCAGCTTTTTTCTTGAACAGTAGCAGCCACAGAAGTTAAAGCCTACATCTCCTTATTGAAACCTCAGCTATAATAATCGATTACTAAATCTCAGCCAGACGTGCCACACCATTATGAACAGGTTTAGCACAGGTACTACTAAATCAATGTTGGAAAAAATGTCTACAGTGAAGGATCTGTAAAAAAGAACTCATAGGCATAACCCTCCCACAAGGACGCGTTCAAAAAATTAAGGAGTTGGTGCTGCCTTGCAGCAGTGCCGAGGGAGTCTTTGAAGTTTCCAGAGACAAAGGGCAGAGTCAGCAGAGCACAAGTGAAGGAATGGGGACATATGCCTACGCAGCTGTGCAGCTACTGACAGAGCACCGGTGTGGAGGCCAGCGTCTCAGCCTGGCCATTACTCCTGAATGCTCTCTCCCAAGCTCCCTTGAAAGTATGGCTCAAAAAAAGGCAGAGTTTTGCACAATTAGAAGTACCTTTATGTGGCTTGAAATACTTTCCTCAAGAGTTACACCTCCATATTTACATACTATATATCCAAAACAGAGTCGCTATTAAAGCATTCAAGTAAAGTTATCTTTCTAGAATACGTTCACAGACCTATCAATCATCATACCTTTATTTTTTCTGAGACCAGCTGGAAGTGATGATGTAGGCATCAGTTGTTCAATAGATACAGTAACTGCATTTTCCACCCCTTGGAGATTTGATTCCCCTGAGCCACCATCAGTCAGCACCTTGTCTCTCTTACGCTGCTGTCGCTTCTCTCTGTTACTGATTTTTGTTTCCCAGGTTCCTAAAACATCCCCCAAATGAAAACATCACTAAGTCAGAAAGCAAAAAGGAAAGAGTTTTAGCTTGTTTCGTGTCAAGCTGAAGTCTGAGTACAGGTTCAGCTTAAAAATCACAGACATGCCAGTCAACTTCAACATTAGTTTGAAAACATGAACAGCAGGCCAAAGGTAAGTTTTTCCATATGCAGTGTGATAATACTTTGCTTCACAGAGAGAAACATGAACAACATGAAGACCCTACTATTCATAACTTTTCTCAGTTTTTATAAGTTCAACTTCAAAAAAAAAAAAATCAGTTGACATTATTAAATACTGTTGTTGCAAAGAACAGATTTCCAGATATAATATGCAACTGTTGAGTTACAACAAAATGAGTTTCTTGTGTTTCCTTATGAAGCGCAAACAAGTATACCTTAAACAGCATTTAAGCCAAAATATGTCTAATTGCATTTATGGTTTTTTTGCGTTCAGTACCTTCATCAACTTCCTTTCCATCTAGACGTGACACATCCTGAATCATTTTAGCATCTGCCTTTGATTTCTTTTTTTTCTTTGACTAGAATAAAAATAAAACATTCTCTTAATAATCACTTAGCGACCACTTGTCATACTGATTTAGAATTACCCCCCACTGAAATACAGGAGTAAATTTCAAACAGATTTTCCTGTACAATCCTCTGTATGGACAGTCCCTTGAAAGGAGTACTAAACTCTACTAATTCCTAAACATAAGTTAAGACTGTTGAAGTAACATGAAAGGCACATGCAGTACACAAATGACAGGTGGGGGGTTGGGGATGATTACTTATGCTACAGAGCACAAAGAGCCTGGTGGAAGAAGCTATGTTGATGGCATCACAGTCACAGAGGAATACAAACTGTCTGGCAGGCAGATCCCACTCTGGCAAAATTTATTTTGTGCAGAAGCAAGTATAAAGTTATACATGGAGAAATAAAGAATGCCGGCAACTCCTTTAAAAAAAGTTGGTAAGAGAATTCCAGCTTGGAAAATGACTTCAAAACAGGAACTGTGATTAGAGTCCATACAATAGATATACAGGGTTTTTTTTCCAAGGTTTCATCAGTTATGGCTTCTTGGCTACATGAGCAGAGATAAATGAAGAGGAATAGAGATGACTACTTCTGCAAGCAGGTTTGGTACAACAGGTAGCAATGTAAAGTGTTAAAAAGATAATATTGAGAAAAAAGATGAAAAATGACCCAAGATATTGGAAGCAAGTATATTGCAGAAAGCTTTGGAGTTTAATCTTTTGATAAGCTAAAGTGATGGCAAATTGACTTCACTACCTTCTTAGAAAGAAAATACAGTACTGAAAAGCTTTTCAGTTTAGTGAAGAAATGTGTAAGAACTACCAGATCAACCTGAATGAAAAAGACTAGACTTTTTAAAGAAAGATTATTATCCACTCAAATGTTATAAGGGATTCACTGTCTCTGGAATATTTGAATATGGATATTCTAAGAATGCTGGATGTCTTTTTGGAATACATGCTTCTGCCAGAGTAAGACTAGTAATTGCCAACTTTATACCTGAGTTCATTCAAACTATATGATTTTCCAGTCTCAGATGTCCAAGAACAACATAACAATCTCTCCAGAATTCAGAATTGATAACAGCTAAATTATCACCACAGCTGCAGCAGATGTCCTATGGGCCCACAATGGCATGCAGTTTAGATGCCTTTGAGGTAGCATGCCCCAAAAGTATCAAGTAGCTACTGTATAGGTACTGAAAACAGTACAGCTTGTTAGTGCAGCACCAGAGATAATAAAAATTTCACTGCTTATATGCAATGCTGTGCCAACACACATAACACTTAGGGGGCTGACTTGAGCAGTTAACTCATGGTTTACTGCACTAGGGGACCCACAATAAGGATGCACTCAAACTGAATTATCACAGAATCACAGAATCACAGAATAGTAGGGGTTGGAAGGGACCTCTGTGGGTCATCTAGTCCAACCCTCCTGCCGAAGCATTTACTCAGTAGACTACCTTTACCCACATAGCAGCTACCTAACTTCTGAAAAATCTCCAAAAGAGAAGTGCTGGTTTCAAAAGCAACCTGAGAAGAATTGGTTCTATGAATGTGAACAAGTCAAATGACTTGCCAGAGCACCTTCTAAGGAAGGAATTAAAAGGGAAAAGTTGACAGCATAAAACACAGTTATGAATTGCTTCTTGGAGCTCTAGAAGACGAAAGACTACTATGTTTGTACCTATGTCACCCATTTTCAGCTACAGTGAGGTCTCAGCATCTCCCACCCACAAAGCCGTAACTACCCAATTGTTCTTTGGCACTAAGAGAACATCTGAAATGACTTCAGAGGTCTCCCAGATAACAGTTTAAGATGACTGCTCCTCCCAAGTTATAACTCCAGTTTCTTAAATAACTAGCTCCTACAGAGGTATCGACATAAAATATTACACTTCTCACAAAAACATCAAAGTTTAACAGTTTTTCAAGTGCTTGCTAGTAACAAACACTGTTTTTAAAAATATCAAGAATTCAAATCTTGAAAATATATTTACTTTCCTAACCTGAGTTCCAGAACCTAATGTGAGAAATCAGAACTATAATTAGTTATACAATTTACTCATCACCTGCCAAACTTAGTGCTGTAACAGTCGCTATCTCAGTAACAAACTAACTGAAATAGCAGGAGATGTTAAATGTTACTGAGCAAGCTAGCCGATCATTTTGCAGAAGCCTATTCATTCAAAGTGTCACCTTCTGCAGCATCGAGAGCTGCCAGTGTCAGCTCTGCCACCAGCCAAAGAGTACATGAGGAACCCAGCAGGTTGGCCAAATTCTTTGAAGTCTTTAAGTTGCACTCTTCTCCATGCAAGAACAACAGAAAAATAGACCTTTCTTCCTCATCCCTAATGGTCTGTTTATTTCTAGTATTCAAGACAAGCCAGTTGTGTGTTTCAAACAGAACAGGCAATGAAGTTTTAACATCCTGCAGTCTCATCCAGAGGCACTTCTTAGATACAGTCCCTTACACTAAAAACTAAAAAAAACCTTTACTGTGCAAGTCACTAAAACTGAAAAAAGGGAAGAAACTATTTGAAGTGTCAGGATAACCATAAACCCTATGAACAACCACAATCCAGACATTACCCAAAGCTTCCCCTCCCCCAGAGCAGAACAAGAGGATAGAACTTAAATAACTACTCTGAAAAAATATACATGAAATTGACAACTCTGAAGCAGCTAAGAAACAGAAACACGAAGGAATGTGATTTTCATTGAAAGCATATATTCAAGCACCAAAAAAATTAATCATACCCTTCAGGTCACAGATTATATATATTCACGTATCTACACGTATGCACACAGTACTTAAATCCCACCCCATGGACTTACACCACCCATCCCAAGCTATGCAAAGAGACATATACAACACCCCTTACAATCTTCTTAGCAGGTTTTTAAGTTACAAATGCAACAGATGCCCTGAGAGGCTTAATCGAATAATTAGATGCTTGCAAAGTTACCTGTAGTTTAAAGAAAGTTCTTGGGTATATTTTTTTACTGAAGGGTAACAATCAACTGCTGAAGCAATCATGCTTCGCCCAGAGTTCCCCATAGTGCTATGAAAATATGATCAGTTGAATAAGCCTCCCTATCCATATAGTGGTACTGATTTACTGGAGCAGCAGCTTCAGTGTAACACTTTAAAGTTCAGATCGCTATGTTTGCAATTTTAAGGTAAAGCTCAAGTTTAGCATTTAAACACCTTACCTACTTGGAAACCTGCTTAAGATAAAGTGCAAGTTGAGAAGAAATACACAGTTATTCCTTCAGGATCAAATTTTATTATATTCTTGGAAAAAACCCCACAAAATCAATCTGATATGCAACACACAAGAAAGAAGTGTGCAGCACGAAATTTCAAGGCAAACCCATTTCACAGAAAAATATTTATCTGCTAATGCTGAAAATGTTTACAGCCCTACATCCAACAGGATATAGTCTTTTAGCCAACACACTAACAGCAAAAGAAATTACTATAGACAGTCAAGTAAGTTAATTAAAGCTTCAATGAGCTAAACAAATTACATTAATGAACTACTGGTTTCTGTTTATGCATAATCATCTATTTTTCCAATACTCCTTAGTATAGTTGGAACAAATGCATTTTGTTGAAGAAAATAAATCATAAATCCACGACAGCAGGAAAAATTCATGCACGTTAGCAAAAGAACCAAGTCAAAAATTATCATCAAAGGCTTATTATAAATATATCCACATTGCCTACAAATGATAGCATTTATGATAAGGCTAGAAGATGCTACTCCTCACAGTGCAAAAAATAACATTGCCATTAGTATGGTTACCTTTTACATAAAGCTACAGATCACACTTTAAAAAGATGTTTTTAATGTAGCTGCTCAATTTGCATAACAAAAAGCTCACACCAGACTTCAAAGCCTGTATTTGTCATCAGAAATTAAGAACTCTAATCACTAATGGATACATCTGACAACAGAAATAAGCAGGCACATGGTCTTAATCCTTTAAATAGTAGTCACCCAATTGTTAGACCATTTACAAGCCACTTAACAATACTATCATTATGTCGCATCTCCATAGAAGCCAGCAAAGATGAAACACAAACTTCATCTCTGTAGGCTTAACATTTTCACCTGGTGAATGCAGACTGACACAAACATTCCATGATAAGACAATCTCAGAAGTTAAGAAAATACTACTTTAGCTGTTTCCAACACCAAATTAGATTAGTACTCTTCATAGTAAGAAATACGCCTCTTCACTCATGCAAGTAACAGGACTTCAGATCACAAACAGAGTTAGTAAACACGGAAATTACATGCACTAAACTTTGTCACTGTCATTTCATACCCGTAACTAACCTTTTCATTCTTCTTTTCTGTGTCCACAGGCTGTTTTGTATTTTCTTTACGGACAGTTTGTATTACTTCATCCTCAGATACATCAACAAAAGACCGTCCATTAGGCTGTGTAAACAATAAGTGTAAATAATAAAAAATTTGGAGAAACCAGATGAAGCAAAATTCAAATTACACTATTACTGAAGTGCAACTATTTGTTGACTGAAAAAATGCTAGCAAGATTATTAAGTAAAGCAGACAATCACGGATTGGTGCTCAAAATATCTACTGCAATTCTATATTTACCAAACATAGAAAAGAGAAAGGAAAGAAAACAGGTCTCCTCATTTCATCTCAATCCTACTCAACACAGGAATTGCTTATCAAAAGGTAAATTTCTGGAAGTTACCAGCTTTCAGAACAGTTCTCTGTAGCTGTTCTGAAAACGAATTCAGGACAGCTACAGTTGTATGCGCCATAAATTGTCTGATTAAATGAATGCATTTACCATTTTGTAGCAGCTCAGCAACGGGCTGAGTTTTTGAAATAATTTCTACCTTGACCAATTTCTGCAATTTCGACCTATGCATATCCCTGGAAGCTCATTTCCTTCTCAAGTTAAACTTCACAGTGGAACAGAAATTAGCAGTCAAACACAAAGCATGACTAAGCACGGCAACCCATTTTTCTTTTCAGACAGACTTGATTACAGTCGTTACATTAGTCTACCGTTTTCCCCTCACATAATAAAGGAAAGAAAATTAGTGTATATGATTTAAGATACAAAGTTAAAACTCTGGACAGTCATTAAATTAGCCTTTCATCACCTTTGACAGCAAAGGCATTTACCTTAGCCTATGTATTCCATATGCAAAAATGTACTAATTTTTTAAGTCATGTTTATTGTTAACAAAAAGCTATGACTGAAGTTACTGTGCTTAACTGCACAAAATATGAAAATAAGTAAAGCATTATACTGTTAGCCATTAATTTCACTGAGTGAAAACCAACTGTCCAGAGTAGTAATTGATACTGAGTCCACACAAGTTTCGAATTGATTCACACTCATAATGATTCAAATAAATTAAAGACTGAAAATTAAATAAGACATTAAGCATAAATAACTACCTCACAGTTGCCTCAATTTCTGCCATTTCTTTTTAAATAAAGCTCAAACTATATTATCTCTAGTTATTTTTGTTATTAAAAACCCAAAACCTAGTTTAACTCTGCATCACATGAAGCTGATTGCTTTAAAGTAAAGCAAAGGCCATATTACAACTTAGTGTGAACTATTCCTTCAAATACCAGATCTGATCCTCAAAGTAACTGGTACAGGTTTTTAAGTCTTTCCATGTTATATTATGCTTACAAATCACCCTTGGCATGATTTCACCAGTGCATAACATAGTATTGCTTACTGTAGTTAGCCAGCATGCCAACTTCTTATTTTGTAACTATTAATAGAAATTGAAAGATCAGGTCACCTAACCCTTGTTCTGCAACCACCAGACTTTTCATGTCTAGGATGCAGTACATTTCACTCAGCATTCTGAAAATGTAGTATATGTTACAGTTTTGTGTCTTAAAACTCCCTCTAAAAGTTTCTCTCAACAAAGCTAACAGTACTCGATTCCACAGCAATACTAAAGACCCAACAGTCAATCTTCAAAATAATTTATTGCAAAAAATCAGTTCTTGAACCCCTCTATTTTCTCCAGATTCCGCACAGCCATGTTATTAGTGATGTGATGTCTTTCAATCCGTGTTAGCACCCGTGACGTTTAAGTTCTTAAGCTGGAGAAAAAAATTCACTCAAGTTATTTAGCAGGAGCTAGATAACAGATCTGCTCCATCTAGTATTGCACTTCTGTCAAAAATGTTTACAGGTAACTAACTTTTTTAATTCTGTGCATTGCTTTGCTTCTTCACTGTTACGTACATACCTTAAATTGAAAACCGCTTTCTTAATTTCTCAAAAAATCAACAGACAAAAGATTTTACCTCTCATTTAAAAAAACCCCACTGTTTCCCTGAAGTAATAAACTAATTCATACCCATTGAGAACCCTCTGGAAAGATTAATCCACATGACTGTTTAAAATGCTGTCTGATGATCTGATCATGTAAACAACAACCATTAGAAATACATTTAAAAACTTGTACTTTGATACATTTCTCCCTGAATGTATCCCTGAATTGTAATAGTCTCCTTTTCAGTGGAAGCTTTCCACATTTATTTTCTGCCCACAGATGAATCATAGAATTTTAACAGAAATTCATGTGACCATTTTTGGATATGCCAGAGATACTAACAGAAGCGGGAAAGAAAAAAGCTTCTCTACAGTATTCAGAAATATTTCCTTTAAAAGAAAACTACAATCAAAAAGATTAAGTTTAAAAGTTTATGGTAGTGTATTAAACATTCACAGTATTAATTCATTCAAACTGTGGAATTTATTGTATGCCATCTTCCCCCCCCTCCCATCCTAAAAGCTATAGGGAAGATGCAACTAGGCAGAAACAGTGCTGTCAATAACACTACTGATTTCTGAAGACATTTCTTGCCTGCTGACCTTAAAATCCCAGTATCTAAATAAACCTTTCACACACGTTCATTTGAGGGTGTTTAGAAAACCAAAAAGTAGAAAAAAGGTATTGCTAAGACTGTTACAATGAAAAATATTGTTCTTTAAATACAGTACAGCGCAATAGATAACTCAGTTTCACACTTCAAATGGCAGTAACAAAATTGCTATCATTCGAGTCTTACAAGGTCATCTTAGTTACACATTATAAAGATATGCCTACATCTTTGGCCAATGAAAGAATCTGTTTACCAATATTATTTTCTGTAAGATTCTCTTAAAAAACTAAGCTATCTTCTCTTTGAGTAGGCGAGAATTCTACATCCCTACTTGTCCTGCAATTTGACAATTAACATACACAGAAAAACAACATGCAAGTAGCAGCTGAAAGTATGAAAAAGTCTTTATGCAGTCTATTTCTAAATGTAATAAGCATAAAACAGTCATAGCCCAAAAAGTTCTTTGAAGAAGACCAAGTAGGAAACTTTCTCAAATGAATGCAAATGCTTTTACTAAAATGTGTGGCATTTACTGTCCAGGTGTACTTCAAACGATAGGAAGTACAGAGTCAATCTGGTATTTTCTGCATCTACAAATAGATCGTAGGAATGGCTTTCTAAAGCTGTAGCAGAGTAGAGAAGATGGCTACTCTCAAGTTTCTATGGTGTTTTGCAGACTGTACAGAAACCATGCAAGAACAGTTTCACCTTTTTCTGCTGAAGGTTTATAAAGTAGAAGAAAGAGGCACAGCAATTATTCAGAAGGCAAAAGAAGTAAATTAAAGATCAAGAGATTTTTAGAAAGAAAAAAATCTTAACAGGGGCCAAAGAACTGTGTGACAGGAGACAAAGAGCTCTGCCCCTGCCAGGAGCTAAAAAAGAAAAAAAACACAGAAAGGGGCTTCACGTTTACTGCATAGAATCTGAAGTAAGGATACCATGATACTACCTTGCTCCAAACAGCTGGAGAAAGCCAGAACTGGCTCTGTAAACTATGATGTTAATGAATGCTATACTGTTTCAACTTCATTTTTTTTCCTCAGTCTGCCCATAGCAAGCAAAATAAACAGAATCTCATAATTGCTACTGTATCCAATCATTGAACTGCTATTCAACTAAGCTTATTTTACGAAAAATATTGGTAAGTTGTACCCTACCTATATAGGAATAAGGCCATGTGCAAGTAACAAAGCAGTAATACTCCTCCTCAGAAAGAGTACAGTGAAGAACATTTCTGATCCTGACTGATGAGAGTTATGCATCACCTGCCCTATGATGAGCTCAGTAACTCTGTATTAAAGTAATCCTACAGCTTTTAATTAGACATCTGTAGTGTGCTCGTTAATGCTGCAGACCAGTTTATCTAAGCTTTCTGAAATGCTCACAATGGAAATCTAGACCCTGGCGCAGCAAACCCTGTAGAAAATCTACTGATAATAGGCTTACTCTTTTCCTTCACAGACTTCACTACCAGCATCACAGCATAAAAAAAACACAAGACGAAAATTACTAGGAAGCCATCAGTAAGAATTATTGCTGCACCTTTACACTTCCAATGTTATTTTGAGAATTTTTCACGTGAAAGTTGGAAAAATATTGGGACATGCTAATACAGGTCTCTATGAGCTTTTCTTGGAGAATGAGCATGAGGCAGGCCTATTAAACTCTGCCATTGGTATAAACTTACTTGCACTAATTAGTGATTCAGTTTGTGCATTTTCTTTTGAGAAAAGGTGGGGGTTTTATTTTTTCACCTCTGCACAGAAATAATGAATACAAAGTAATACAAAAATAACTTTAAAAACCTTAACAATACAGAATTACAGCTTCACAGCTAAAAAACTAATTTTACTCTTTTCATTATGAAAAGATTTGCTCTTACACAGACTCAATTGTCCTTATTTTATGCTTGAATAAAGGAAGCTTGAAACAGTACAAGTATTTATATTCACAAAAAATGTCAGTTCATTAAATCTTCCATAAAATTAATACAAAGTTTGCTTTTATGAAGCCTTGCACTGCAGATCATTGTCAAGTTAACAGTGTATCTGCCTCTTCACTCTGTCTTCTGATGAGGCATTTTTTAATGTCTTCAGTGATGACTTGCAAGAGTTTATGCTTTGCTTTTATTCTGGAGTTTAAAGAAAATAAACGAAGCAAAATCTAAATTATTTCTAGGATTAGTCTCTTTTTTTTCAAGAGGGCATAACAGTTCTATTAAATCCTGAAGGATTTTCTGTTCAAGATGGAAAAAAAAAATTGCATCTTTACCATGCCTTCTCCAAAATGGAGACCTAGCTATACTGGAAAGATTCTGAACCACAAAGCTTCCTCTTCTCGGTGCTCAGCATTCAGTCTCTTGCAACTTCCAGAATCAACTTCAGTACTTCACTGCTTGAAGACAGGTTGGTGGCGTATGCAGACTTTTCTAGTTTTCTTTTAAGATATTCTAGCCTTAACTTCTCATTAAAAAAAAAACAAAACAGACTTGTCAAATCTTACTACTTCCACAGACTCAAACGATGGTACAAACCCATTTTCTCTCCTTTTTCTGGTCATTAGGTAAATAATTCAGATTTTATAGAGAGAGATATAATTGTAAGACACAGTTGTAACAGGCAGGGGACATCCGCTGCACTTTCATTCCTATAATCCATTTGGACATAAATAGGATTACAAACATACTAACAATATAAAAGCTATAGAAGCAATCCCTTCAAACCCCCAAACTATAACTGAAAGCTTTAATAGGAGAGTTTATAATTTCTGCACTCCACTAATTTTCTCCTGAAGTACAGAAATACTGTCAAAGATAGAAGACTCCCACACCACATACCAAGGATTTCAAAAAAAGAACAGGAATGATCTGTGTTTTAAGGGGCTGCTAAGACACAGATTTCCTTATTAAAGGAGATGATCCTTACCGTAACAACTAAATCAGACACATTCCTACTGAGGCAAGCTCACCACAAGACTGACGTTAACATGATGACCCACAGAGGTCCCTTCCAACCCCTACTATTCTGTGATTCTGTGATTCTATGGTCTGTCGAAAAGACACAGCAACAAGCCTTACTCAAGTTTGCATCATCACAGCATTTATGGGGCTTAAAATACTATTTCCAATAGTCTGTACCTGCCTGGACTGCAACTCCTGGCTTGAAAACCTAAGCCATACTAAGGTCTCCACTACTGGTTCCTAACCCCGCAAGCATTCCATGAATAATAATTTAAAAAGTGATGCTTTCATATCATTGTTTCCATTATAAAGCTTCTAAAAAGAAACGAGCGTTTTCCTCTTCACCCAGGACTACTAACGTGTCACCTCCGTGTGTGCGCGCTGTTCCTCCAGGTTTTCAAACCAACCGAGTAACCGAGACGAGACAGCTCCAGAGCAGCCACTCGCGACCCCCCACCCCTTCCTTCCCCAGGCACAGATCACCCAGGTCAACCCCATGGCGCCTGGAGGTGGGGGGGGTAAGGCTCTATGGCCTCCAGACCCTGCGGGCGGCTCTCCCCTCTTCTCGCCGGCGCCTAACCGACCTGCAGGCGTTTCACCGAGCAGCGGGCGCCGGG